CTCAGGCCTGGCTGGTCAGCTACTCAATGACCAAGAGCTGCTGCTCGTCAGTGCAGAGGAACCACCCACGTTCGCACTGGCGGAGCATGATGGAAACTGGCGATGGATGATGCTGGAGGAGATGAAGGCGATCGAGGAAAACGAGACATGGGAGCTCGTCGATCCACCTCTAGGATGTCGTCCGATCAGCCTGAAGTGGGTGTACAAGGTCAAGCGGGACAAGCTTGGCACCATTGTCAAGCACAAGGCATGCCTCGTCGCCCGAGACTTTGTTCAGCACGAGGGCATCGACTTCGAGGAAGTCTTTACACCAGTATCGTGCATGGAGTCTGTTCGTTTGCTACTAGCCTTAGTAGCAGCAAAGGACTAGCGCGTCCATCACCTGGACGTAAAATCGGCCTTCCTCAATGACGAGCTGGCGGAGACGGTCTTCGTCAGGCAACCTATGGGTTTTGCCGTCAAGGGAGCGGAGCACAGGGTGCTCCGACTGCACAAGGCGCGCTACGGGCTGTGACAGGCTCCACGAGCGTGGAACGCCTAGCTTGACGCCACGCTGGGTGAGCTTGGGTTCACAAGGTGCGCAACCGAGCACGCGCTCTACACGCAGCGACGGGGGAAGGAGGAGCTCGTTGTCGGCGTGTATGTGGACGATTTGATCGTCACCGGCGCGCGTACGGAGGACATCGGCAGCTTTAAGCATGAGATGGTGGCTCGTTTTCGAATGAGCAATCTCGGGGCACTCTCCTACTACCTCGGCATCGAGGTGAGATAGGGGAAGGAGGAACTCACACTCGGTCAGAGCGCGTATGCCTCGAAGCTGTTGGAGCAGAGCGGCATGGCTAAATGCAAGCCATGTGTGACTCCGATGGAGGAGCGGCTGAAGCTGATGAAGGCTAGCACCGCGGCGAAGGTGGATGCAACACTCTATTGGAGCATCGTCGGCGGTCTGCGCTACCTAGTCCACACGAGGCCGGACATTGCGTTCGCCGTGGGCTACGTCAGTCGCTTCATGGAGAATCCCAGAGAGGATGACTCGGCTGAGGTGAAGCGGCTACTGCGCTACGTTAAGGGGACGGTGGATCAGGGGATCATCTTCCCCAAGACCGGCGGGAGTAGGCTGCAGCTCACTGTGTTCAGCGATGCAGACATGGTGGGTGACATCGACGGACAAGGAAGCACCTCTAGCGTGCTCGTCTTCCTCGGGTCGACTCCAATTTCATAGCTGTCGCTGAAACAGAAGGTGGTGGCGCTGTCTACGTGTGAGGCAGAGTACGTAGCGGCGGCCACAGCAGCGTGCCAAGTTGTGTGGCTGCGCCGACTGTTGGGCGAGCTGACCGGTGCGAAAGCTCACCCATCAGCACTGATGGTGGACAACCAGCCCGCCATCGCCCTCACGAAGAATCCGGTTCTCCACGACCAGAGCAAGCACATCGACGTGAAGTTCCACTTCCTCAGGGACTGTGTCGATGAAGGGCAGATCATCATCGAATTCGTCAAAACTGGTAGGCAACTCGCGGACGTCCTCACCAAGTCGCTCGGACGTCTTCGACTCACGGAGCTAAAAGAGATGATCGGCATGGACAGGGTACAAGGGATAGCAGTAGGATTAGGGGAAGAATTGTTAGATAATCTTCTGCTTGTGTGAACACACATCAAGGAAAAAGCGGCACCGAAAAGGCTCCCTGTCGTGGTACTGTAGCCGCTGTAGAAGGCAGGCGCCGAACGGCTCACCTGCCTCACTGTAGCCACAACAGGGACAGGCGCAGAAGTCAATCCTACTGTGTATCTAGTCACTGTAGCAGCATGGCAGCTGTACTAGGACTAGATGGATAGAGTTGTATAAATAGTTTGCCACTGCAACTCAGTAAAGAGAGTTCAGACTTGCCATCTCCTATACAGAGCTCCGGTCAACGCTGATGCTTGTACTGTGTGTGTGCTCTGTTCTCCCTTTCTTCTTCTACCTCTGACCATAGTGTGTGGTCGGACAATGTCTTTCATGCTCGGTCGTGGTCGGTAAGACTGGTGAGTGGTCGACTCACCTGAGCCGGTGATCTTGTGGGCTAACATTCCTGCACCCTGATGAAAAAAGGCATATCAGCTCATGTGTGCTATAATACCAGCAAGGAATATATCATATTATTGGACCAGTAAAGTGGCTTAGAACATATATAACATGACTAAGATCAATAACATATTTAGGAGGCAGGTACAAGTATTCAGAACCCCACACTAATGGGCAATGGACCAAGGAAACATGTATGAATGATATAGAAGGATCGATGTTCCCTAAGTCTGAAACACCAAGTACAAAGGTATTAAACATCCACATCACATCTGAGATGTTTCTTGCCAATCTACTGAGAAAATGGCATGTTACTGAAACTTAAAAACTACACAATAATGACAGTGAATATGATAAAAAAATTGAACTCCTTCAGATGAAAACTGTTCAGAAGATTATACTAATCAGAAGTTCACGGCAACACAGAGCCAAGCATACATTAGTCCATGTGACAGGCCAGTCCATGAAGCAGGCTCTCAGAACACGTACAGTATACAAAGCAAAGTGCAATACAGTAAGTAGTAGCAGAGAATGTCATATTTTTCATATTTTTGCGACAATAAGCAGAGCTGGTACCCCTATGATTATAATCAGCAGACATATATAGTTTGTTATTAAAAACAACCCCTCACCAACAAGTAATTGGAAATCTCTACCTGACACAAGAATTTCTTTGGGGATGCACAAGCCCCAATCTGATCATCTCAAAACTGTATTACCAATCTATCTAGATGGATAGAGCATGGAGCAGAGGAGGGCATTGCTACCTTGTCTGGGTCAGCGAGGTAGACGCAGAGGGGGTACTTGTCGTCGACATTGGCGACCCACACCTAGCCGCCGTCGGCCCTCTGGATGGCGAGGATCATGTCCTGGCGGATGGCCATGGGCAGCACCGAGTAGCCCCAGCGGGGCGCGGGCAGTCTCAGCCTTAACCCCTGTCAAGCACACACGCGCACGGGCAGTCCAGGGACGGGGATGGATGGACCTGGGGAGCGGGCGAAGAGCGCGGGGCGTCGTCCGCTTGCTGGTGTCGCTGCCGCTCCCCCGTGGCTGCGGTTTTGGCAGATCTGGACGTGGCAGGCGGCACCAGTTGGATCCGGGTGCGCCGCCGGCCAGTCTGGAGGGAGGGAGGCGGACTGCTCGCACCGCTGCACGGGAAGGGAGAGGAGGTGGCCATCGGTGCTTTGGCGCTTGGCGGGCGGGCGGAGGCGGCCGGTAGGCGTCCTCGCGACGGCACGCTGTCCCCTGGCTGCGGACGGGAAGATCCAGATCTCGGAGAGGAAGGAGACGAGGAGGGAGGTTACGGCGGCAGACGAGGGCGTGGTGGTGGCACCGACAGAAGAGGTGGCTGTGGCAGTGCCGACAGTGGAGCAGGGTGGCGGCGCCGGAGTAGGAGGAGAAGGCGGCGGCGTTGTAAGTGAAGGAGGAGGGTGGCGGCGTTGTGCGACTCCGCGACTGGAGTCGGGGAGAGAGAGGGGGCTACTCGGTAACTGTGGACTTGAGTTGTAAATTCATCAGAGTTAATCCTTTCTTCGGTGACTGCGGACTTGAGTTGTAAATTCATCGGAGTTAATCTTTTCTTCGGGTCCGTGACCCTCCATTCTCTGACGTCGTTTACTCAGACACGTCTGTGGTATACCCATCATAACACAGACGCGTGATAACTATGTACCACAGACGCGTTTTCACAACACGCGTCTGTGATATGTCGTCTAACTACAGACACATGTTGTCAATACGCGTATGTACCAGTATTACAGACGCTTGTTACCAACACTTATCTGTAGTAAGCACTTATTACAGACGCGTGTTGACCTCGCTGGACCGGCGACCTCCGCCGGTGACTTATTACATACGCGCGTTGGCAAGGCGTGTCTGTAAACTCGTACTACAGACGCACGTTTGTGCTGGCGTCTGTAGGCGACATGGTGGATATGCGACTTTTTTACATAGTGCTAGTCTCTATAAACATGGAACCGAGTTGTCAGGGAGAGGCAAGTCGTTCACCCACTTTCGCAATCCATACCGTATCCGTATTCGAATACTCAAATTTGGATATACATGATGTCAATATCCATTCGTATCTTATTCAAAATATCCGTAATCCATTCGTATCTTATTCAAAATATCCGTAATCCATTCGTATCTTATTCAAAATATCCGTAATCGAATTCAAGTTTGAGGTTTACAATAGTTTTCTGTATTCGTCTATGGCGTCTATAGGTATCCAACCATATTCGATTCGTTTACACCCTAGCTCCAAGCAATATATCTCCCGCCGTTTTAGTTCCACCTCAAAATTCAGATACTCAAAATTAAACTCCCCATAATAATACAGTATTACCCATACAAATTTATTATTTTTGCACTGTGACATACACATTGACAACGATCGACGATGTCATATAAGACGATCAGATCTTCTTGAACATAATTGGCGCGCCATGCTGAGGATGCAGCGTAATGACAGTGTACGGTGCATGCGTGTACGAAGGCGACAGTTGGAACTCGAAGCGCTGGAGGATCATGCTCAAGGCCATCTTGGCCTCAAGCAGCGCAAAGTTCTGCCCGATACAGATCCTCGGCCCCCACCCGAAGGGGAAGAACGCCGGTTGGTCCTTGGTCGCCTTTGAGATCCCCTCAGCGAACCTCTCTGGCTTGAACTCATGTGCGTCCTTCCCCCAGACATCAGGATTGTGGTGGACGACGATTATGGGAAGCTCAAGGATTACCCCTGCAGGGTAGGTGATACCTCCAATCTCCATGTCTTTGAATGTTCTTCGGTTTAGCGTCACTACCGGCGGGTACAACCTGAGCACCTCGTATAATATCATCGTCACCTGGATAGCATCTAGGTATAGACAGTGTTAGCAGGTAATATAATGTGGAATGGGCTTGCAGCAAACATGCACACATGGTATTGCAAAGAAACACTTGCCGTTTTGAGTCGACTTAGGCCGTCGAAATTGGGCTGCTTGTCCCTGCCGAACACGCTGAGGACCTCCTCCCTCGCGCGGTCCTGCCACTCAGGGTGCATGCCTAGGATGACGAGCGTCCACGTGAGCAGCACCGACGTGGTTTCCATCCCCGCGAAGTAGAAGAGCTTGCACTCCTCAATCACGTCCTCCGTGCTCATCCTCAGGCTGCTTTTCCCGCTCTCCATGTTCGACTGTAGCAGCACTCCGAGCAAGTCGTTGCTGCTGGCTTCGCCGTTCTCGATTGCGCGCTCCCTCTTCTCGATCATGCCCCTTAGAGTCCCTTCGATTTCCCTGTTGATCTCGTTCATCCTCCGATTGTTCTGTGTCGGGAAGAACCTGCATATATATAATTAAATTACAACGGCATGAGTGCATGCATATGAATGTGATGACCTTTAATGTACTAGAATTACCGTACTATGTGACAGATCAGAAAGTTCTTACATGAAGCCTGGGATGTACATATACTGGAAGGCCTTGATTACTCGCTCTGCTTGCTCGCTCTGAAGTTGGAAGATCCTCCGCCCTTCCATGAAGCTGCTGCCGAATGCCGTGCGGGAGATCACGTCTCCGGTGAGGTTCTGAAACTCCGGCCAGATGTCCAGTTCATATGATCCGTCAGAACCAGCGATCTTGCTATCCCAGCGATCTATAAGCTCTGTACAACACGTCGAGAACGCCGGCAGCATGCGCTGGGAAAATAACTTTAGTAATAAGTACACACATGACACATCTATATGCTTGAGAGACCGTGCAGAACTGAAGCTGATTGCCGGTATGAAGGAAGTTAGATAACCTTGAGCTTTTCGAGATGGAATGCGGGGTTCAGGATCCTTCTGTGTTTTGCCCATTTCTCGCCATCGTAAGTCGCAAGCCCAAGGGCGAGCAGTTTCCCGAGACGCTTGTTCGTGAACTTCTCGAAGTGACCAAACTTGTTTGATAGGATGTCTCTGACTAACTCTGCCTCCGTGATGACCACCCTCGGAATTGGTCCGAACCAGGTGATACAAATGTTGCCTGCAGTTCACCCGTTTGTGCCAAGAAAATTTCAATTCCATCTTTGAAATTTAGGGAACTTTCAATTTTGTAGCACTAGAGAAATTTAAGGAAATGAGCATGACAGGCACTATTTAAAAACGTTTACTTGAACAAATAGATAGCGACAAGTCAGATCTAGAAGGGTCATAAAAAAAATCCAAAACGGTCTAGGTCAAGCAGGCGCCCCAAGGGACACCTTGCGTAAGCATAATAGCCCAAACACACCATGGCCTATCTATGTCGTGCTCGGACTGGCATGGCCTGATACCCCATGTTGTACAGGGGTCATTGTTGTTGCATGCTGTGGGTAGGCACGGGCAGGGTCCGTATAAACAGTTGACTCGACTGGCCCATTAACCACCACAGGGTATATATAATCCCCATCCTGATGTCCACCGAACTTGTGTCTCTTTCTAGCACGGTTGCTCCTTCGCGACACCACCAACTGTGTCATCTCTGGTGCCTCTAGCCCTCTAGGCCATCTATGAGCCCGTGAACAAGCATGGCAAGGCCCGGTAACAACAGACCGTGCTTCTATGAGCCCATGACGAGCAAGTAGCGCCACCCATTTGGACATTTATAAGACTAAGGGCCCGTTCGGTTCCTGGGGAACCGTGACCAGGATGTAATCCGGCCAGGATCGGATGTTTAATTTGTGTAAGATTTGTCCAGCCGGAATGCTTCCTGACTCTTTTCCTGGCCTAACGAACGGGCCCTAAGACCAATCGGTACGAGGGAATCACGTTGCTGACCAAGTCCACCGTTTGGCTTGGTCAGCCTTTGTAGACTCTAGCTTGCCAGATAAGAATTATTTAAGTGGGCGATGATGGAACTAGGACTTTCAATTAAGGGAGACCGGGTAACATAATGACACTTCATAAGTGTGATAAATAAATACATCAAGTGCATATTTCAATAGCTTTTTCAAAGTTTTTACATATATATTTAGTAATCACAACGAAAAAACACAATATTATCATAAAAATATAGATAATTGAAATATATTAGCAGAAAAAAATTGTTTTACAAATGGGACGAAGAATTTAAATATAACATAGAACAAATTAAATATATATCATAGGTCCGGTGACTGGGGTGGGGTCAAAATTGAAATGGAGCCCGAGGGAAGAATTCAAACTTGCCATGTGTCTCATACATGTCTGTCTGGTGGGCGGGTGGGCAATAGAGGTGGGACTTGGGCCGTGCCCTGCCCGCACGGCATGACCCTCTTGTGCTTCGTGCCGCTTCGGGTCATGCCCTCTAGGCACGCGAGACATGTCGGGCCATGCCGATATGGCATGGTAAATCTTTTCTTCGGCCTAAGCACGGACCTCAAAATATCTCTTCTAGTTTTTTCTTCTCATGATATAAAAAAATATATCTTGTGTGCTATTTTCATAAATTTTAATGATTTTTGTAATCCATTCAAGAATTAGATGAGAGGAGGTATAGTAAATGCTAGGGAATTGCATTATAGAGTTGAAGATTTTTTTTTGTATGTGTCATTTTCGTGCCGTGCTGGCCTAAGCACGGGCCAAAATATAGGCCGGGCCATGTAGCCGCCACACGGCCCTTTGTGTTCGTGTCATGTCAGCATAGCCCAAAATATTTCATGTCGTGTCATGCTAAAAGATTGTGCCATGACCCGCCCTAAAAAATGGCACGGTCCAAGTCCCAGCTCTAGTCTCAATAGCTTTTTCAAAGTTTTTGCATATTTAGTATTCATAACGAAAAAATATATTTAGTATTTATAAGAAAAAAAAATATTTAGTATTCATAACAGAAAAAACATTCCCAACACTTGTCAAGCGACGTCAGCCTCAGTGTTCACGTCGCATGAGAAGCAAACATTCATCGAATTCTCAATATGACCATCCGTCGTCCGGAAGATTCTAGGCAAAGTTACTGTACTAAACTGTTGAAGGACGCAGAGAAACGACAAAGACTATGGGACACGAGAGACTTTGGACGCACCGTGCTCCTTGATAGTGTTGAAGAGATGCGGCATCACGCGGGGAACAACGTCGTGGCACGGCGGCATGGGCCTCGACCGCGCCTCGTCGTTGAGCCTGGCGTTCTCCTTCAGGTCGCCGGCGGGGAAGCAGTACTCAGTGCCGGTGAGCCCCTGCGCCCGGAGCACCCGGTCGAGCCGCCGCGGCCGCAGCCAGAATGTCTGCGCGGCCCGGTACGCCCCCCACACGATGAGCAGCGCCAGGAGCCCCTGGAGCAGGCTCCACGGCGATGGCGAAGAAGCCGCTGCAGCTGCAGCTGCTACAACGTCGTCGTCCATCGCTTCCTGCTTTCAAGTTATGTGCTGTGACAACCACACAAGTACCACAAAGGTGCAGTGTGTGCTTACTGAGACAAGCGAGCGCGATATAAGTAGTAGTGGTAGGCACCGCACGGGCGAGCGCGTTGCCGGCCACCGCCAGTTATTGGTGCGCTCCGTTGGCATCACATGTTTTTCCTCTATATATATACTTCGTCTTTTATGTGCAGTTTTTTTTGACAATACCTTTATGTGCAGTTAATGTATATGGTTTCTTGGCGGGCACGGTTGCCTTGTGGAATAAAATGCACCACACAAAAAAAAACCGGCCGAAGCAAGCTAGAATAATTTGCTGGTTGCATATGTACCGTATCTTGTGGCGCAGATTCGCGCGCCAACAAGGCCGATAAGGTTTTATGATATATAATCACGCGTGTCAATATAATCATGGCTCTATTCGCTTCAGCTTATAAGTCAGAATCAACCCTACTTTTCAGATATAGAACAGTGTTTTTCTCTCCTAACAAATCAGTCCTATAAATCAACCGCAGCAGCAATAAGTCCTGCCGAACAGAGAGAGGAAAACGTTCGTCCCCTATCGTTTGTTTCTGTAGAGAGTGAATATAATAAACGGGTTGCACTGGAAGAAACTAGTGGCTTACGTTTGCATGTATGTATGATCGAACGTGGCTTCTGTTTGCATGTATGTATGATCGAACCTAGAGGGGAGAACAGCTCGAGGAACAAGAGTCAGTCCTCTTCATCACGGTTACTGTAGTTGGATAATCTACTTCTTATTGGATCATTATAATGGATTGGATTGTGAAAAATCATGGGAACAAAGAAACGCATATTACCATGAAACTGATCTATATACTACTACTTTTAGTTAAAAGATATTCTCTACTATCCTTCCCTTCCCTTCCCCCGAGCGTCCTGACGGGCAACTCGGGGGTGACCCCGCCGGCGTCGTAGGAGAACCCCTCCCTCCCTGCTCCCCCTCTGGCCGCCATCACCGTGGCAGCCCCAAAAAAGGGTGCGCGTCCGCAGACCTCCCTCCCTCCCACCTCTCTCCTTCTCCACCGTTGTTCCTCCACCACCTCTTCTCTGGCGTCTTGGGCGGCCGGTGGAGCGGATCTGGATAGCCCAGAGCCGGATCTACTGCCTCGACGTCTGAGTCCGGCAGATGCATCTCCTGGCGAGCTTGGTGGCCAGGGCCTGGGCACTGGAGGCCTGCGGTCGGATCTGGTCGGTCGGTGGCCTAGGGTGGCTGGCAGGCCCTCCTAGGCGCGCAGGGCCGGGGCGGCAGCGGCCAGTGGCTGAATCTGGCCGGCCCTCGACTTGGGGCCTGGCCCCCACCGCTGACTGCCTCAACGGCAACCCCCGGTCTCCTTCGGCCAACCAGCGGCTTGGGGTGGCAGGTTCTGTAGGCCCCGTGGCCTCATGATGCTCCTAGGCGGCCGATGTCGGGGCACCAGCGACCACCGGCTGGATCTGACCGCCACACGGCCTAGGACAGCTGAACGGCGGTGGCCTGCCCGGGGCCTGGCTGGCCAAACACTAGCCGACCTACCCTGCGTCAGTCAGATCTGGTGTCCAGAATGTCTGTGGCCGGCTGGCTACTGGCCGTGGCTGTCTGCACCGGGTCAGCAGTCCGATGAACAAGTTTCTTGAGTGAAAACTCTGCCCGGTGTATTTCTTCGGGCCGGCGGCGATGGTACTATCAGTGCCATATACCTTCTTGAAGGTGTCATTGAAGTCTCTATTCGTTGGGGTGGTTCTGGTACGAAAGTCCTTCTCATGCTCTTCATTCAACGTTGTTGGTGTCTGTGGATGTCATCCCCTTCTTGGAGGCCTCGTTGGAGCACTTCTGCCATCGTCCCGCCTCTCCCGCTGGAGTTGCTCTGGGCTGTGCTGTGCCTACATGTGCTTTAGCTCTTTCTTCACTCTGGTTTGTCCAACTTGGAGGTTCGATGTTGCCATAGTCGTCCACTTCTTCGCAACGGATGCTTGGTCGCTTGCGCTCTTCTCGACGGATGCTTTGCCGTCGCTTCTTTTTTACGGATGCTTTGTCATCCTTGCTGCTTGGGCGGATACTTTGCTGCCAATGTCGTATGGGCTCCATTGTGCACCTGATGCCCCCACCTGCGGATGCTTTGCCGCATTGATCCTGGTAGATGCTTTTTGCCGCCGTGTTGCTTCGACGGATACTTAGCCGATGTTCTCCTCTTGGTGGATGCTTTGCCACCTCAGCTTCACCTCCTATATTGGCAGCCTAGCGTTGATGTATTTCTCCTTTGCAGGTCCAATCGGATAAGGTAGTGGTGGATGGGTCTCCCCTTCCGCCATTCTTTCTACTATGTTTGTTGTTTAGGTTCTAACCACTTTCTCTGTGGTTCTTTAACCGGCACTATGGGTACGCCTGTAGTTGCGTTGTGTAAGCCATTCTTTCGGTGCTCTTTCTTCTTAATGAAATATGTGTCGTGTTCTCAAAAAAATGTCGAACCAAGCAGACTAACAGAGGACCCCAAGGTCTGCGCCAAGGGGCCTGGTTGGGCCCAAAATAGGGCCGACGTGAACAATGCCTGTAGGTAGTGTACATGGGTACTGTTCATGCGTGCCTACCGGCCAAAAAATCTAGATTAGAAAGAAAATAGGAAAAAGAAAGAAAATAGAAATAGAATTTGTTTAGGAAATATGACTGAATAAGATCGGTTTTCTACGAAATGAGAAGTTCAAATCTATAGGGACTCTTCCTCTAGTTTGCTTGGGAAACAAGTCCTCTTGGGACTATAAATATAGGGAGAATGTAATCTTTTGATCTTAAGCAAGGAATAGAGTGATTGCTCTCCCAACCTCTCCCTCCCTCTCTCTCTCTCTCACACACACACACACACTGTCGCCGCCCCTCTCCCTGCGCTGCACCGTGCCGCTACTACCATAGAAGCAATTGCCCCCTGCCCTAGCCATCGGCATCCACCGGCGATAGCAGGCCAACCAGCCCTCAAATCAGGGTTGTGACACCTAGTATCTCAAAGACTAGATCGATCTTATGAGCAACTTTTTGATCCACTACCATGGATGACCTTCGCATCGACACTGATCATTGGAGCAAGGAATTCGACAAGTTATTCCCTCGGCTCCAAAGTCCTCCATTGATAATAGATCCAACTCAACCATAGATCAGCACACCAGAGGTGCCTATCAAGCACGAAGGTGGAGCATCAACAACAACAACGCCAACACCCATCTCGCTCGACACCTAAATCACTCCTCACTCTTCCTACAGATACATCTAAGGGACCTTTGGATATTACGGCCTCGGCCACCATGTAGGACACCAACTTCGTAGCTATAGCCAAGGCAATGCAGGGTTGCGAGATCACCGCCATAGAACTCAATGAGGAAACCAAGAGCATCACAGAAGCAGGGCGTGCTTGCATCACGGAGAAGATGAAGGACTCCAAATTGTTGGGAGTTTCCGAGATCGGGGAGCAGGGTGATGAACAAGATGTTCCTGATCAAGCCTGAACCAGAGGTAACACCTATGCCATGGCTATCTCTTCAGCTTCCTCACCCGACAGCAGATCCAAAGGTGCCTCCAGAATAACCTTGGCGCCCACATCCACACCAGTTTTAGTCGCACCAACATCGCTTGCGCACACGACAATAGGATCACTCTTGGTCCTCCAACACCTGACAAACAACTCCACCACCCCTGTGAAGATGGAGGGTGAACACAGCACATCCACAGTCGATGATCACCACCGTGTGCATCAAACCCTCGTTCCCGCCGACAACACCGCAATGCTAGAGATCCCTATTCGCCTAGCATAGGACAAGGAACCACCGCAACAACATGCGACCAACACAAATACATCTACGAGCGCCCACTTCACCACCATGATCCTCTACTACAACACCGTAATCCGATGCTTCCCTATCAACATCGCTCAAATAGCACGGGGTGTTTCATCTTCACCAACACCATACGACAACTACTTCATCAACATCGGTAAATCGGCCACGGTTCCCCAACAACGCTATGCCAAACCGTCCTCTCCACACACTATAGAAAGAAGGATCTACTACGATGGCTCATTCACTGCGAGCAATTCTTTAGAGGGCAGCAAACCTCCAACACCAAGAAAATCGGGTATGCAACTTTTCACCTAACAGGTGCAGGAAAGCTACATTACAGACGCCTGACAAAGGACATAGTAGTGACGGATGAGGAGCACTTCGCCCACTGCACCAATGAGTACTTCGGCTTTCTAACTCGAGGTGATCCGCTGGACGAGCGATAGCTTATCAACATCGACATCACCAAACTACTAAAACCCCTTGACACGGATGTGAAGCGCTGGAATCCATACGATATGGAGACAACCCTATCTTGGGTATTAGCATGCAAATGGACGGCAACCACCTTCACCAATACTGCAACATCGGTACGCCCTACACTATGTGCCCTGCTATCTTTAATAGTGCCACCCTCGAGCACCACTCCATCAACTACAACGACAGTGTCACCAACCACACTGCCTACCGCCCTGCCTTGCATTTTCAAGTGCATCACCACTGAACCAGTGGCAAAGCATCGTCGCCTAGCATCCTATCACCGACGACAAGCATCCCACCCACGACTACAAGGGGGTACTTCTGCATCAAGCCGATCTATAAATGCATCAAGCTGTTCTACTATAGTTCTTGCGTCTCGTGTCTCAATCTTAATTGGTGTTTCACCGTGATGGATCAAAACTGTATAGTCCTTTACAAAACCACGCACAATCAAGTGTGACCTAATTATAGTCACATCATTACATGCTATACCATTCTTGCAATTGCTACATGAACAAAGAATTTTGATTCTATTCTTTGTCGCCATTGAATGCTTCTCTGCGCCTTCAAGAAATACATCCACTTCTTGTCGAAAATTTGTCTTCCACCTTAAAGAACCATACATCCATGACTTCCTGGGCTCCATCATTTCCTACAAAGATCAACAAAGCAAAAAAACAAAAAGACAAAGTTAGTATAAGAATAATTAATAATCCAAAATAATATAATAATTAGCATGTAACAATATAATTATGGAAGGTCATTCTTATTTAAATTTATAGATATAATATATATTGTTCAACTTCTTTCATGATGTTCTTCATGCAAGAGATTAAAACAACCTAGTTAACAAACTAATATAATGTGTCACTATAGTAGTATTTTTTTTTTACTTTTGTTAATTAAGAAATGAATTAACACCAATTAATATTACACCCGTTATTGTTTATGAAACCTTAATACCATATACTAAATGAAAAATAATATGAATGTTAACAATAAAAAGTTAATCCCAAACCCTAGGCCTAGATCTAGATCTAGATGCAAACCATCTCTTCCTAAAAACTATTAAGGGCCTGTTTGGTAGAGCTCCACCAAGTGAAAAAGTGAATCTGGATCTGGAATCCACCTAAATCCACCATGGAGCAGCTCCACCATGCATCTGGGATTCACCAAAGTGTTTGACACAACTCCACAATTTCATCTATCTCACTTCCACCTCGAGCCCACGTGTCATGAAAAAACATTCGACTTCTTTGTCCCGACAACAACGCGCGATGGGGAAAGAACTTCTGGCAGACCGGGACGCTGCTGCGACATCGAAGACATGGCCGAGAAGGCTCCACGCTGTGGGGTCGAGCACGCGGCCGACGACGCGCGAGCCAGGGCCAGGTGAATACGGCCGGCGCTATGAGGTGGCATGCACCCGAGGCGCGCGGTGGGGCGAAGCGGCGCGACCGCTGCCATAGCTCGTGGCTGGGCACGGCCCTAGCAGGCGCGGCCATGGCCGGGTGTCGGAGAGACGACGGGCGCAACTAGGGCTTGGGCGAGGGTGGAGGAACACTGCTGCCTCACTAGAGAGACGGCGGACATGTCTGTGGCTTGGGCACAACGTGGAGGAGCACCGCTGCCTTGACGGCGGGAGCGACTGCTGGATGGCAGTGTTCCTCGTTCGCACAGAAGGAAGAAAGTCGTGAGAAAGAGAAAGAAGAACAGATAGAACCATTTTCCCCACTAATCAGTGGCATGGTGGGTAATTTCTCCCAACTCCACCAAACTTGAATTTGGTAAAGCACCCCTGAGGTGCTTCACCAATTTAGTGAATCTTGGGCCAGATCCACCTTTTTGGTGGATCAGATCCACGATGGAGGTGGTGGAGCTAGAAGCATTTGGCAAAAAAAGTGGATCTAGATCTGTTTTTTGTGGATCTTGAGCCGGTGAATCTCTACCAAACATGCCCTAAATAGACCACTAAAATAAAGACATGGCCACTAAATGATGGTAGAATCTTGTTATCCTACTAAATTGAGCCTATCACCTTAAAAAATTTGATATATATGCACCAATAAATTCCTCAACCACCATAAAAGAGAGAGAATGAGAACCATAATTACACAATAATCTACCACTAAAACTTCAAAATGGGGCTTGGATTAGCATCTACCTACCTTTTAAAGCCGCCTCCACCAAAGGAATCAAGATGAAAATCTTCCCCCCTTATATTTGCTTTTTTGGAGGTAGCCCGAGGCCCCTCTTTCTCAGTGAAAATCCCGAGGAAAAGGGGGGCTGCTACTTATACACTGGATAATTTGTAGAGGCAGTTCTATCTTTGAAGATAATATCTGGAGGCGGCTCCAACTCTGGCTGTCTCTACAAATTAATCTTCAGAGGTGGCTATTGTCTCCAGATGCCTCTGAAAATCCCCTATTTTTAGAGATGGCCGCAGACAACATCGACATCTGAAGGTCATTTTGTAGAGGTGGCTAGGGTTGGAGCCGTCTCTATAAACTATCTTCAGAGGCGGCTTGTTTGACAAGATACACTATAGAGCCAACTCTCTGTATGAAAATCATTTTTGTAGTAGTGATAAGTGAGGAGCTCTAGCCATCGTGGGTGGCGTGGAAGTGGTGAAGAGAGAGCGGGTGGCTGGCAATGAAGGAGGCGCAACACTAAGGGGCTGCAGGATGATGCATTTCGGCATAGGGATTGTCTGCATAAGGACCTACGTGGCGGCACATAAAAAACATAAGGGCCCTTTAGAATGAAGGAAAGTTTTCTATTTCCCACGTTTTATTGTGAAAATAAACTAATTCTTATGAAATTCTTGTATAATTTCTATAAAATTACTACGTTCCAAAAGAACCCAAGAAGAGGCTGGAGTAACACGAAAGTAAGAGCAAAAGCAAAACTTTAGTCTTTATCTTTCGAATGTTCAACTGGGAAAATATTGTTCTAATAGACTCGGTGTCTTCTAGTGCAGCCACCGATCAAATGAACCTTTCTGCTGTCGTGCTTATCGTTTGACATCACTTTTCGTGTCCTTCAGCAAAATTTCTCCATATGTTAACAGTGCCCCAGCACGATGGACGCATGGATTGCAAGATCCTGGTCATTTGGCCATATGGTTGACTGGGATAGTAAAACCGATGGTTCCCCAAGCAGGCACAGTCATCACGTGGTGGGTGCCCATCCTGCGTCGCTTACGAGGTGCCTGCTGCGGCATGGCATTAGATAAAGCGACAAGGAAGCACGGTACCCTTCGAGTGGCTTTGACCAACAGCAGTGGATCTAGTCAATGACCGGTAGTTTTAACCCATCGTATCATTTTTTTCATGCACTTACATTATCTTATAACTATATTTATACCGTCTTATTACTATATTTATAATGACTGTTTTAGTATAATTTATTAAACAGAGTGATGTAATTTAGAGATAATTCAAATATATGTCAAATTTTTTCAGACAAATTTATAAATTATTTCTATGAAATACAAATATCAGAGAAGATATATCAAATTATTCACAAATTATTCAGATTTTTCAGAACAAATTACAAATTTTAAATAAATTCTAGTGGGACCCACACTCCCCACCCTTATCCCTTCCGCCTTCCTTGAGCCACAACCATTGCCGCACCCCGCGCTCGACCTCCTCGTCGCCGGCCCCCGGCCCCGCGCCGCGCCCGCCATGGCCGGAGCAACGAGCCCCGAGGCCGGCCGCGCCCCCTGCTGGCCGCGCCATCCGCTCGAGCCATCCGCGCCCATCCGACGGCCAAAACAGTCGGTTGACGGTGGCTCCCAAATCAACGGTTGATGCCTAGCAATTCTGATACCAATCTGATCTCCATCGGAATATCTTCACTGCCAAGTTCCTTACGAGCGAGGTATGGTCTGGCGCATGACTGACCAAAATGCCCACGACGAACCTTATACAAAATAATGGACCAACCAAGCCAGTGACTCAGTGAGGCAGTGACAACTGTTTATAAGAGGACCCTTGGCGCCAGGCATAGCGATCACTAGCTCTGCCTTCTCCAGTTTCACTTAAGAGCTGAGCAAAATGGTTCTTGGAGCGTTGGCGAGTGCAGTCGCCTCGACGCAATGGAGCCTCCTCATCTACGGTCTCCTGGGCGCTCTGCTCCTGTGGAAGGCCGCCCGGCTGCTCGAGCTGCTGTGGTGGGAGCCGCGGCGACTCGAGCGGGCGCTGCTCGCGCAGGGCCTCCGGGGCACATCGTACCACTTCCTCACCGGTGACCTCAAGGAGTACCGCCGGTTCAACAAGGAGGCCGGGTCCAGGCCCTTGCCGCTGCGGTGCCACGACATCGCCGGCCATGTCTCGCCGTTTGTCTACGGCGCCGTGCTCGAACACGGCAAGACGTGCTTCTCGTGGTTCGGCCCGATCCCCAGAGTGACCGTCACCGACCCGGACCTGGCAAGGGACGTGATGTCGAACAAGTTCGGCCACTTTGAGAAGCCCAAGTTCCCGGCGTTTTCCAAGCTGCTCGCCGATGGAGTAGCCAACTACGAGGGCGAGAAGTGGGTCAAGCACAGGAGGATCCTCAACCCTGCATTCAACCTCGAGAAGCTCAAGGTATATAAAACTGTTTCATTTAGTTTGTTGCCTGCGATCTTTCTTATACTCTTGCGTTTTGTACTATTGTTCGCTTCGATCGAGTTTGTGATTGATCATGGGAGATCGAGTTTGTGATTGATCATGTGAGTGTGGACAACCTTGCAGCTCATGCTGCCGGCGTTTTCTGCGTGCTGTGAAGAGCTTGCCAGCCGATGGGCGCAGTCACTTGGTTCTGACGGCTCGTGCGAGCTGGACGTGGACCCGGAGCTTCAGACCCTCACCGGAGATGTCATCTCCCGCACCGCATTCGGCAGCAGCTACCTTGAAGGAAGAAAGATTTTCCAGCTACAGGCCGAGCAAGCAGAGCGCCTCATGTCCATCATGGAGAAGTTTGCCGTTCCGGGATACATGTGAGTTTTGATACTTCTGTATGTCCTTGCTAATTTACTTTAACATCGTGTACCTGTTCTGCAACATCAAACTGACACTACTGTTTAGTATTACTGAAACTGGATGCATCAGGTTCATCTTCTTTCGCCCATTATATTAGTACTTTATTAGTGATGCATGGGGAATGCCACTTTCAGGTCCTTGCCTACCAAAAACAACCGAAGGATGCGCCAAATTAAAAATGAGATCGAGTCAATTCTTCTGGGTCTAATTAGTAAAAGAATGCAAGCTATGAAAGAAGGTGAAAGCGCCAAAGATGACTTACTGGGCTTACTGCTGGAGTCAAACATGAGAGAGACAGGCGAGAACGGCCAGTCCAGCCAAGGAATGACGATTGAAGATGTCATGGAGGAGTGTAAGCTGTTCTACTTTGCAGGAATGGAGACGACATCAGTGCTGCTTACATGGACCATGGTCCTACTAAGCATGCACCCAGAATGGCAGGACCGTGCAAGGGAGGAAGTCCTAGCCCTGTTTGGGAAGAACCAACCGGGATACGACGGCCTGAGCCGCCTCAAAACAGTGAGTACTCCGGTTGATTTCCATATCTCATTTATATATATGCAAATGCAACCAAACCACTAACTCTTTCCGATTCACTGTGCAGGTGACCATGATTCTCTACGAGGTCCTCCGGCTGTACCCGCCGGCCATCGCGTTCAGCAGGAAAACATACAAGGAGATGGTGATCGGAGATGTCACATACCCTGCCGGCGTGATCGTGGAGCTCCCGGTGATGTTTATTCACCACGACCCCGACATCTGGGGAAGTGATGTGCACGAGTTCAGGCCAGAGAGGTTTGCCGAGGGGATCGCCAAGGCGTCCAAGGATAGGCTAGCGTTCTTCCCGTTCGGCTGGGGGCCGCGGATTTGCATCGGCCAGAACTTTGCTCTTCTGGAGGCTAAGATGGCGCTGAGCATGATCCTTCAGCGCTTTCAGTTTGAGCTTGCGCCGACGTATACTCATGCGCCGCGCCAAATCATAATGCTGCGTCCGATGCATGGTGCTCAGATCAAGCTCAGAGCAATATGATGCTAGCTGAAAGATTCGCCTGTGGCTGTTGGTCCAACGGGCTTTTGGGCTTTCTTTCATGGGAGCCCAAGACTGTTGTAGCATTGGACCTTTTTATGTATTTTTGTTTCCATTCATCGATGATGAATAATCGGTGTCCTTTCGTGTCTTTTCTGTTCACGTATTGCATCTCGGAGCATCTCTAACTTAGGGGCTCTTTGGGACCGGCCCACTCTAGCTTTTCCAGCTCTGTTCCAAGCTTCTAGCCAAATGGGTCTAGCTCGAAGAACTCCGCTTTATAAAAAAAGATGGAGTTGGAGGCTAACTCCATGTTTTTTCTCGGAGCTCCTCAAGGGATACTCTATAAACTAATGTTTTGTATGTGCTCGTGAAGTGAAGTTGGGAGAAAATTATCCACCACTTCCACTCATTACATAAGGGCCTGTTTGATCCCATTGACTAACAACTAGTTGCTACTAATGTTTAGCCATTTGGGATCAAATAGGAGAACTAATGGGTGGGCTAAACTTTAATCAAAGCCCCAACTAGTTGTTAGCTCACTGTAGAACCTAATTATCAGGAGCTAAAGTTCCACTAGATCACAAAAAAGTCGCCCATACCCTCCCACACACCATGTCAACTCCCTCCCACTGCCGCCAGAGTTTGTGAGAAAAAAATCGGATGCACACAGCCGCGCTTGGCCTCCTGAACGCTCGCGCCGCCGCCATTCTTCTAGATCGCCCAACGAGGAGCAGGCCGGCCATGCGGGGTGCCAGTCGCGGGAGCACCGGCCATGGAGGCCGCTGGCTTGGGGCGTAGAGGTTGCCGGTCGTGGCAGGCGCGGGGCCCTGAGTCGCCGAACACAGGGGTTGCAGGCCACCCTTCGCGGAGCAGTGGGGCCAGGGAAGCCGGCCACGGTGCAAGGCTACAGGCCCAGGCCGCTAGCTGCGCGGGGCCATGGCGCTGGTAGCCACGCGGGGGCCGCCGGCCGCGGGCTCGTCGGCTGCAAGTAGGAGGGTCGTCGGTCGCCAGGTGTACGCTCCAGACGCCGACATCGACGAGGTACCTCCATGCACCGCCGAACTACCATTGCGACGAGCTACCTCCAGTCACCGGCATCGACGGGCTAGGAAATGGGCTCAGGAGCATAAATGACTTTGTATTGAGATAGTACTACATGTGAGCCCTCGGATCCAAACAGGACTGAGTTAATCACTAGTCATCAGCTAATCACTAGTCCTAGCTAAACTAGTCCTAGTCCATCCAAACAGGGCCTAAGAATACCGATTCCTTTTGTTTCTCCGTTCACTACGTCCCTTTCGCTGGCCTCCTCCCTTGTGACTTTTTTTCTTGCACCGCCCCTTCTCCCCTACAAACCCTAGCGCCACCGCCCTCTATACCGGACACCATGGTGAGCACTCTAGCGAGGTGATAGATGGTACTGATGGATCCAGCGATGCTGTAGCAGATGTCCTCGTTTTTGGGCCCAACACCTTCCCCGGCGTCATTCGTCCATGCTCTTCATTGGCACCGAGTCGGTCTTCCCTGGCCCCTTCAGGTGGTGGCGGCGGACTTCTACGACCATCCTTCCTCCTCTGCGTGGTCGGGTTAGGCCTAGGCTGCCCAGCCCACAGCTGCCTATAGGCTCTCGGGCTCCTGCTGGCCGGCCATGGCCTCCCACAGCCAACGTATGTCGGCCACGGACCGGCTGCAGGGCCGACTTACACAAGTTCTGCCAAATAACAACTTAAGAAATTTATTATCATGGAGTATCAATATAACTTAAAGCGAATTGTTAGTGTCGTTGCCAAACAGTTTGTTAATGGAATATTTTTCCACACTTGATAAGCTATCAAAATAAATACTTATTTTAAGGTATAGATGTTTAATTGGTTTATATGGTGGAACATAACATTATGTTTGCTTTTAACTTAAAATAGTCCAAGAAGCGTGAAGTTTAGAAATATATATAATGTATATTATCGATATGGATTTAGTTTTTGTATTTACACGTGGATTTGAAAGATACTTTTGTTTAATTTTTGTAATGGGTGATGTGAATAATTTAGATAGAAATTAAAAGATGTCATTTTATATTATCTTCCATAATGGCACATGTAGGTAATTTCAACGCAAATTTGAGATAATTTACATTATCTTTCGTAATGGTACACATGGGTAATTTAGATATAAATAAGGGGTTAGTTTAAATTACTATTAGAATGGCAAAGGTGATTAATTTATACGTAAATTTAGAAATTATTTTAAATTATCCTTTATAATAAAAACAGTGAGTAATTTAGATACAAATTTAGGGGATTATTTTCAATTATCTTTCTATCGGCGTTTTGTAAACAGGACTAGTAAACTTATTCGATTGCTGCGCTGCTCTAGGAAGACGATGGTAGCATTCAATAGACACGAGGATTTATACAGATTCAGGCTGGAGCCCTACATCCAGTCTCAGAGATGATCGAGTGCGTGTTCCTCGCCTGAATGCTCTAAAGTTCTTACAATGGGGGTGCAAGAAAGGTGGAAGAGATAGAAGGACCTATGCTAGACGAAGGGCTGTCCAGACAGAAGCTCTAGGAGCCCTACTACAATGGTGAATGAATGGAATGGTAGAGGATGTGAATTTTGTTGCCCTGGCTACCCTTATAGAAAGAGGGGGTTCTCACGACAGAAGGGTCGAGAGCCTGAGGGAGGGCTTAGCTAACTTGGCTTGCAAGCTACGCTTTCTTCTCGTGCATGTCCGATCGTGGCCATCGTCATGGTCTTCTGGCCACGTTGCGGCAGGATGCGACGTGGTGCTACTATGTCGGGCATGGCGGCACTGTGCCTCGATGTTTGTGCAACACGGTGTCCATCATGGCCTTCGTTATTGTCTCCTGGTTCCTAGGGGCATCATACCCGAAGTAGGTAGCAGCCCTAGGTTGTTGTTTGCTTGGTCGCTCCGCAGGGCCAAGGGCCACGACCCCGATCTTTGGGGTCAGGGCACTCTGCCAATCTGGATGGCCCTTTCGTCGAGTCCCTTATCATGGATCCCATCCCGTAGTGGGTGGGATCATACAAGCGTTTAGTCGGTTTGTATTTAGATGTTGGGTGTCGTACCCGTTGCCACCGTGGTGCGGTGTTGTCTCATCAGTGCGGCATGGCATTGGGATGATGTCTTACCGAGCCAAGGTGATTGTTGTCCCCTCGGTCCTTGCGGGGTCAGTGCGGCATGCTTGCTCTTATCTTAGCAGGTGCGCCTAGTTGCGCTCAAGCTCCCTCCTCCCTTCCGGGGTCGTGATGGGGAGAGGTCATGTACTAAGGCGGGTGGAAGAGGTTAGGGATGATCCCGACCTTGGCGACTGGCCCGCTCCACTCGGCTTTCGCTTGGCCTTCATTAGCTGCTGGCCACGCGGCCTGCTAACTAATCGGTGCCTTGGGACACCCCAGGGTTATAACCCCTATAGTAGCCCCCGAGCATTTTTACGACCACGAAGTGATCGTGAAAGCGCTGATGCGTATGTGTGTTGGAGCGCGGGTTCGTAGTTGTAGTTTCGTCGAGCTTCATTGCCCGACCCCTTGCGGGCTGTCGCATTTACTGTGGTAGGTGGCTATGGCACTTTGGTGTGTCAGTACCCCGTGCATTGGGGTTTGTGACCTAGACAGGGCCACATGGTTTCGTCGACACTGTGCCGGCCCTGTGCAGGCATCCGGTGTTGGTCGTGACCTCCCGTGATTTGCTTCATGGCACGGGGTTCTCGGGTTGTTCAGTCCGTTTCAGAATTTATATAAGTGAGGGCCCTCTTCCTGTTTGAACCATTTGCGGCTGTAACGATAAATCGCTCCCTTCTTCCTGTTTGGGTGAGTGTGGGGATGAGAGAGAGAGAGACAGTCATCCCTTCCAACAACTTGTGCTAGAAGGGATCTTGCGAGCGGGGGAGGACGAGATGTCGCGAAGGTCGGCTCCGTGATCATGCGGCCATGGTTTTACTTGTGCCTCGAGTGGCGCAGGAAACCATGAGGGCCGTTGATCAGGGGAAGGTTTGCCCCACTACCGTGGGTCATTGAAGTATGCAGGCAGCGAGTCGGTTCTCTGGAGAGAACGTTCGTCGCTCCCTGGCCACAGAATGATGGACCCGACGCGTCGTTTATCACTATGTCTTGTCGTGGCACTGTGACATTGTGGCGTGATATTCCACACCGGAGGCCATTTTACCCTTCTCTCCTCCCCGCGTTCTTCGGTTTCGAGGGGTCACGGTGCTACGACGGGGCTCCCAAGGTGTTCTTTTCCACCTTGTCCAGCCTTGTTTGTAGTTTGCACCCCTAGTGGCACCGTCCTCGAGGTGGTGTTTGGGTTCTTCCTTTTCTTGTTTCTGTGGTTTGCCCGTGCCTGGAATGCTTGTACCCATGGAACATGTTTTTCAAACTTTACATTCCTTCCTCGAGGTCGTGCCGAGCCCCCAAGCCGTTGGGCTCAGTCACAGGGCTTTGTTTCTGAAGTCGGATTTCTCTACAAGGG